GACGAAACATCGCGACTCGACATGCACTTCTCTGTCTCGAACGAGTAAATATTATCATCGAAAAAGAAATCAATCTGCAGTTCTAATTGCATGTATGTTTTTAGATTCAATTATTGCATAAGAAGACACACGTCCACTCGAAAGATTTAAAAGAAAACAACGGCCGATTGCGCATAGGTTATGTCAGTTCAGATTTCTGTAATCATCCTACTGCACATCTAATGCAGAGTATACCAGGCTTACATAATCGTGAACGTGTAGAAATATTTTGTTATTCACTGAGTGCCGATGATGGTACGACATTTCGTGCAAAAATTCAACGTGAAGCAGAACATTTTATTGATTTATCATCAATTACATGCAATGGACAAGCGGTAAAACTATTTGTTTCTGAAAACAAGCTAGTTTTATAGCGTTCAATTTCATTTTTCGTAGGCTGATCGTATTCATGATGATGGGATCCATATTTTAGTTAATCTAAATGGATACACTCGGGGCTCACGAAATGAAATATTTGCGTTTCGCCCCGCTCCGATCCAAGTTATGTGGCTTGGTTATCCCAATACATCTGGTGCTCCCTACATGGATTATTTAATAACCGATGAAATCACTTCTCCACTTTCCTTATCATCACAATATTCGGAAAAACTTGCATATATGCCGTATACATTCTTCATTGGTGATCATGCAAATATGTTCCGTCATATGACAGAAAAAGCAGTTATTGTCGAAAGTCAACAAACAAATAGTAATAACAATAATAATGCCATAACTACAGTCGATAATCGATCGATTGTCAATGGTACAAATCTAAAACCAATACTCGAACGAAGTGATGTCAAAGTAAATGGAAATTGTTTTGCTTTGCATCAACAAGGATTTTGTTCTTTAGACAATAACAGTTGAAGTTCTGCCTGCTGATAAGAAAGAGAATGGCACAGTTAATACCAATCAATGCAAAGAAGAAGTTATTACACCGTTAGTTGAACTACCAGAAGCAATTGTTGTTCATCAGCTATTGCAGCAAGGTCATAGTGAAGTTAGTATTAATGGAATTGTTGCACAAAATGGTACAACAACATTACAGGTAAATCATCTCTTTTATTCTCATACTTTATCATTATTTTACGTAATACAATAGATTAGTAGTCGTGCAGCAACAGGTGAAGAAGTTCCTCAAACAGTACTTTTAACTACCCGAACACAGTATGGATTACCAGATGACGCCATTGTTTATTGTAATTTCAATCAATTATATAAAATTGATCCTACGACAATGCGGTGCTGGTGTAATGTAAGCTATAAATGACATTCTATTCGAATTCTTTTTCCACCGAATCAATGTTCTTCAGATATTAAAGCGAGTTCCAAATAGTATCTTATGGCTTCTACGTTTTCCAGTCGCAGGCGAAGAAAACCTCATCCAAACAGCAAAACTTCATGGCGTCGACCCTTCTCGACTAATCTTTTCAAACGTCGCCCCCAAAGAAGAACACGTTCGTCGTGGTCAGCTAGCTGACATTTGCCTGGATACACCATTATGCAATGGCCATACAACTGGCATGGATGTTCTCTGGGCAGGTCAATATCTATATAGCGATTCTGTACTTTTGTAATCAATTATTCTCATTGATAGGTACACCGATGGTTACTCTACCGCTGGAAACATTAGCATCTCGCGTCGGTGCATCTCTCTTACATACACTTGGTTGTCCCGAGTTGGTGGCCGAATCTTATGATGACTACGAGAATATTGCTGTTCGTCTAGGTGTCGATCCCGTCTATCTCAAATCTGTCCGGGCCAAAGTTTGGTCACGTCGCTTGACCAGTCCACTGTTTGATACTGCTCTATATACTCAACATTTAGAAGGACTTTTCATTCAAATGTGGAATCGCTACACCAACAACTTATCACCTGATCATATCAAATCATCGATCACAAGTTAAAAACAGTTTTGCATCGTTTTCTCTTGTTTTTATGTCTCATATTGAGATCGTGTTCATTTTCTTTCCATGGATTATTCTTGTCATTTTATTCTCGACACTACACTGAACACACATACTCGAGATAAAGAAGCTTTCATTTCTTTTCTCTTCTACTATGACAAACAGACTTTTCTGAATTCACAAAATTGTTACATTCTTTTGTTTGTCTATTGCGTTTTGCATGAATTCTTGAGATTTTTTCTATCAGGTGATGGGATGATTACGGAGTAGAAAAGGTCGGCGTTGTTTTTTTTCTCTTTCTTCTCGATATTAAAGACGAGAAAATAAAAAAAGACGAAGAAGGAAGAAATGGAGGATCACGCCATTCTCGCATCGATTTCTCAGTACAATCAGCTAGTTACCTGCCGAGTGTTGTGCTTGAAAAGAACGAAAAAGAGGAAGAGAACGAGAGAAGTCGATCTCTTTTTCGGATTTCTCGTCACTCAATTTCAGACTGATGTATAAATTGACATTCGTATTTTTGGATGCGTGTAATCACAGAACAACATGGAGAATGAAACGAGTCAGTTGTTTTATCTGAATTTCAGTCATACATNCGCGAATGGCGTTTATTGACATTCGTGGATGTTGTTGGTTGTGTTGTTGGATTTGTTGTTGTCACGTGTGGACTGATTTTGATCAATTATTTGAAAACGATGCCAGTGTCCATCGACGCAGACTCTACAGATGTGAACGGTGAGAGATGAAGTGTTTTTGAAAAAGAAAAGAAAGCATGTTGGTATTTAGATGACTCTCTTCTTTCATCGTTCTCGTCAGCGTCACAATTTCTTGCATTTGACTCATGTGATCCTGTATCAACGAAACAATCGAACTATGCTCCAATCAAGACTTATGCTGATCTTCTGGAGAACGAAAACGATTTCTGATTACCATCGAATGTTCCTAACAAATTCAATATGATAACTGAATGAAAAATATCTTATATTATCGAATCTCACTAATCTTATTGTTTTGTAATATTGTATAGATGTGTGAGATGTGTTTTTATTAAATATGTTATGAAAAAAACTTTTCAAAAATGTTTGTCATAAGGAAGACAAGAATACGATTATGATGAGTTGAGTTTTGAAGCAAAAAAAATTTTAGCCTAATTTTAAACTTGTAATGATGACGACTTTGATAGTAACAATACTAAAACGACGTGACGATTATTTATTGTTTGTGTTTTGCCTACACTCTTCTATGAAGCAGCCGTGTCAAGTAAATTATCCTTGAACAATCAACATGAGCAGTCCGCTTATAAGAAGTTTGTTTTTCTTAAGTGAAGAAGAATACTTATCTAGTTGTATATGTGCATTGTTGATTAATATATAATTAAAAATCTCATTCGATGGGGAGATTTGAAACTTGTCTGAGCATTTACAGAAATTCAAGGGAGAAAAGATTGACTTATGTACTTCTCAACATTTCTGAATTTCAGAAGTCCTGATAATTTGCCCTTGTCCAAGTTTGATTATGAGAACGGGATAGATAAAAATTATTTCTCTTACTTTTGTGTTTATGCTTGTGATAGTAAAAAATGACTTTCCTAAAGAATTTTAATTGGACAGAAAAAACTGACTTATCGTTAAAGTTGACTTTTAAGACGTCCGAATGGGTCATTGCCGCCGTGTTTTCTTTATGCTTGATTCCCTTAATGGTCTAATACAATGCGTTATTACACTGTTCAACTCTCACCTTTCTAGACACACTCTCTTCTTCATTCCAATATATCATGATTTTCCGCTGGCTTTTCAATAAAAGAAATAAAAACGTTCGATTATCTGCACGCATATTTATATACGTAGATTGCTGGAATATATTGAATGAGCTACCAATGGATAATTCAACAACCACTTATCTCGATATACTCGACTTATCCACTGAAGTTTTATTGATGATCTTCAATAAACTCAACAGCATTGAAATTTTTCATTCAGTGCCACATGTCAATCGCAGGTTTTATCAATTATCACTCGATAGTTCTTTTGTTCGAGATCTGCAAATAACTGGCATGAGAGATGTTGATACATGTTACAAACACATTTCTCCAATAGATATCAAACTTATTTCAAGGATTTGTAAAAACATTCTACCTAAAATCAATCATCATGTTCAAAATCTTACAGTTGGCCAAACGTCATTGATTCCAACTGTTCACGCTATCAATTATCCTCAGCTTCATTCACTCATAATTGTAGATATTCAGAAAGAATCCCAGGTCAACAAATCCGATGCTGGATCCGATCGGATCTGATGAAATCCTATATTGGATCCGAGTATGGAATTGTTCGACCTGAGGAGGAGCGTTTGACCTTTGTTTGATGATGCTGTGTTAAAAGACTTGTGGAGCAGTGATGTTGCATATTCTTTGATTGTCGGTATTTTGGATATCCGATGTACATATTCGACAGAAGTATCGATCGACAGGCCGAGGGTAGCGCGGAGCGCTTTGTTTTGGATGATTTGAAGTCGATCCCATACTTTCTCATTTGCTGTTAGTAAAACTGGATATCCGTATGTCATCACTGATCTTGCAATCGCTTTGAAGATGTTTATCATCGTCTTTTGGTTAGGTTCTTGCGCTGATTTGACTAAGTATCGTAGAAGACTAATGCGTCCAGTCATTTTCGATTCGAGATGTTGAAGATGATTTCTCCACTTCAGTTCTTTGTCGATAATTACACCCAAGTATCCGGTTGCATCCAGAGGTTTGATGGTAGTATTTTCGACTTTCACTTCTACTGAATGCTTGTATTTCTTTCTTGGGTGAAGTCTAAAGTGGATAATCTCGGTCTTTGTTGGCTGTAGTTTCAGCCTCCATGATTTGCACCAACTTTCGAATACATCTATGGATTGTTCTAGCCTTTGTGCAAGACTGGTCAGGGTGTTGGATGTTGTCCATAGAGCACTATCGTCAGCGAAGAGACCATGTTCCGTGTGTGGCAGTATATCGTTCATCGAGTCGGCCGTGTAGATGATGTAAAAGAGTGGCGATAACGGCGACCCTTGTGGTGTACCATTCTGCAGCTGGAACGGACGGGATAAATTATTGTCGATTTCGATTGCAGCTGTCTTGTTGTGGAGGAAGGAGATCAGGTAGTTGGTAAGGTATTGCGAGAGACGAAGATTATGTAGCTTGTATATAAGGCCATCGTGCCAGACTGAATCAAATGACAGCGGAGCGTTGTCTTATTCCGGGCCGATGGAGTTTGCTTCTTGCGAAGCGTTCAAGTCGGACGATGTTGTATTATATGCTCTTCGTCGCACGGAATCCTGCCTGATGTGCTGGCAGAATGTTTCGACGTTCGATTTGGAGCGTGTGCCTTTGCTTGATGATCTACTCCAGCAGCTTACCGAGACAGCTCAGGAGACTGATGAGACGATAATTGGATGGTAGACGCTTGTCTGTGTTCGGCTTCAACAGTAAGATAATATGTGTCTTCTTCCAGAATCGCATTGTACAACGCTGTGAGGTGTTGTACAAATAACTCGGTGTGTTTTTTCAGGCATCTGTTGTGCACATTATCAGGGCCAGTCGCGCTGTTGCGTAGTTGTTTGATATGCCACTTAACTTCTTTGGTTGAAAACTTTTTCGATTTGGTGGTGGTTGACGGATGTAACATACCCTTCTTCACTTTTTTGGTTTGTCGTACAACTTGCTTGTGGAACGGGAGCATGTCAGGCACTTTGAAGTAGACCTCCTTCTCGAAATAATCCGCGAAGATATCTGCCTTCTCTTTGCCTGTCGCTGCTATAGTGTTGTTGTACTGCATCGTGCTCGAGTATGTTTGCTTGATCCGTTTGTTGTGGAACTTTCGCACCGTGAGCCATACTTCATCCGAATACATCTTCTTTCGACAGAGGGATTCCATTAATTGCTTAAACTTGTGCCTTCTGTCGTTTCTAAGTGAGTTGGCTAGCAGGACTTGAGAACTGTAGAATTGTTGTTTGTCTGCTGCTTCTCCAGTCTTTTTCCAACGTCGATATGCTTGATGTTTGTTCTTGATCATATGTTGGGAAGCTTCACTTACTTTGAAGTTTGTATTCGGCATTGATGCTGTTGGGATGGCTAGGTTGGAGGCAGTGGTGATACAGTTTGTGACGAACTCTGCATAGTCGTCTATGTCACCGGGTAAGGTTGGACCTGGCTTGTTCCATGTTTTCAGTTTTTCGTCCAGTGTGTTTCTGTATTTCCTCCAGTTGGCTCTCTTGAAGTTGAGCGATATTCGTGGTGATGCGGCGTTGACTTCAGTTCCGATCGAGATATCGAAGGTTAATGGCTTGTGTCCACTGAGAAGTCCTAATGTTGGATGTGTTTCGACATTTGATATGAATGAAAAGAGTGGTTGACTGGCTAAAATCCAGTCAATTTTTTCTTCGTAATCGTTGTTGATTCCGTATAACTCGTGGAAAACGTCGATGTTCAGTCTTGCTCGAGGAGGGACATATATCAACGCTATCAGCATGGATTTGTATGTTTTTGTTTCGAGTTGGACTGCAATCAGTTCATTTTCTTGCGATGTCTTGCAGATCAGTTCTCGGCATTTGATTTGCTGCTTCACTGCCAGTAGTACTGCTTCACCAGGTTTCCCTACTCGGTCGTTTCTGAAAATGTTGTAGCCTTTCAGAGCAAACTGACGTTCACTCTTCAGGTTAGTTTTATTAACGGAGATGACGTCGTATTGGGAGAATCTGGCCAAGAGTTCATCGTGGTGTTTGGTGATAGAGGTGACATTGATATGACACACTCTAATCATCGTCGTTGGAGATCTTGATGCCTTTATTTTCGCCAGTCGAAGCATCGAGAGAGTTGTTGGCTTCTACGAGCTTTCGTTTCGCTGGCTCATTCTGTTTGTTGGTGGTTGTGGGGTCTTTTTGTTTGTTGTGCCTTACCTTAGCTGTTTGACTCTCTTTCGAGGCGTCTCCATTGCTGCTTTGCACAACAGTCATTGTCTTGTCGTTTGATGAAGTCGAATTTGTCGTCGTTAGTTGATCTGTGGTAGTTGTTGGGATGGACGTGGTCGATTCGCTGGAGGCAATAAGCTTTTCCGGTTTCTCGACCTTTTGTTGAAAGCTGATGAATAGTCGGTTGACCAAGTTTTGCGCTTTTTTCTCCTGCTCCTTATATTTTGGATAGTCTACAGACGAGGCGAGATGATTGCCGTTGCGACATTTGGACGTGTCTGTAGGCGTTGTGCATTGGTCAAGCCGATGATTTTCTCCGCAACGTGCACACACCTGCTTTTTGGTTTTGCAGTGCTTAGCTAGATGGTTGTATTGCATACAGATATAGCATTGCACTGGCTTGGTGTTTTTTGTGGCTGGCTCGGCTGGAAAATGCATCGAATCCACTTGTAGACCTGTGTGGACAAATGTATTTCGGTTTTCAGCATCGGCGAACATCACTTTTACTGTTCATGTCGGATTGTTGCCGTCTTTGTTTGTTAACCGCGTAACATTCGTCGCTTCAAGTCCTAAGTCCTTGAGTGCTGTCATGATGTGATCTTCGGGGATTTCGAGATCGACTCTCTTGACGAAGGCCACTTTTTCGGTGTCTTTGATCCGCTAAATCGACCGCGGCACGAACAGCTTAGCGGCAGGCTGATTATTTGTGTTGAGGATAGCTTGGAAGTCGTTCAATAGCCGGTTGAAGGATTTCACGTCGTATGCATATAGCGTGAAAGGTCCTGTGCTGCTGAGTTGAATGACGTTCAGCTTGATGTCGCTCATGTACTGCTTGATTATGTCGTTAAGCTGCAGCTTGTTTAAATTTGTGCTTTCGAGGATGACGGGAGCGATGGTGAATTTTGGTCGGATGGTGCTTTTGACTGGTCAGTTGTTTTGTCGAGTGGAAACAATGGCGCAACGGATGAGTGATGCTGACCATTGTCTAGGCTTTGGCGCTGTTTTCTTGCGCGTGGGCGTCCACCTCCTGTCTTCGAAGGCATAAACTTGGCCATGAGCCGGTTTTTCGATTCGTAGAAAAGACTTGGTGGATCTTGGTCGAAATTGATTGGATTTACAGGAGAGCGAGAGAAATAGAGAAGGTTCTTTGTTTGAACCGAAAGTAGACGAAATTAACGTATATAGACGAAAGAGAATGAGACTGATCGCTGGCTCGTCAGAGAGAGGAATGTGATTCATCTATGAATATCACTAAAGAGAATAACGGCAGTCTATCCTTAACTTCACAATGTATATTATTATTTAAAAAATATATCTAAAAAACAAGATAAGTAATAGAAAACTACGTTTTGAATATTGAATTCAAACTATCCATATGTTTATCAATTAATTCTGATATACAAATTCTCTTGAATAATTCGAATTAAGTTTATTAATATATATTTGGTAAAAATTTATAGATAGATATGTTATCGATGAATTATTCGTTTTATTAACAAGAACATTCCAAATAAATGCACCACACCACCTGCACTGAAGTTAATTTAAAATATTTCTTTAAAATGATAGTTTCCTTGTGAAAAAAGATTAGAATTTTTGTCAATATCTTCCATATCACTTCTATATGCATGCTCGATATCATTTTTAGTAAAAATTTTCGTTTCTATTAACATATGATCATTGTTAATGCCACAACATTTGAGTAATATATTGAGCATTTGTTCTTCGCGATCACAGTCAGATGAATCATTGTTAATAAGTTGTATTTTTTGATGTATTTCAGTCAAAGATATTTGATCCGGATGGGCAACGGAAGACAAAATATTTGAGTATATACGGAATTTTTCATCAGTAGTATTATTGGACAATATCAATTCAAATAATTTTTCTACAGTATTTCGATCTGATACTTGCTCAAATTCGAATGACAACTGATTATATTCATCTTCATAGTTACCATCATCGATAAACTGTTCGATCATATTAAGAAATTCAATCGTCAATACATTGAAAACTGTATAAAGTCGTAGAGTGGATATTTTGCGATTGTTTGCATTTTGTTGATAATAACATTCAAGTTGCGTTCTAAATTTCTCTTCATCATAAGGACTTTTTCTAATAGCTTTAAGGAATTCAGTTAAATTTTTTCTAATCAATTCCACTGCTATATCAATCAAGTTAACAGACGTAAGATCAGAAGAATCGTTGTTCTTACATAAAAAATCGTATAAATCCCGGATAAATATCGGACGAAGTTCGTCCGAATGTAATATAAGATAATCACAAACTTTCTCCTTAGTATTTATGTCCTCATTAAAGTGATATGCATTTGAAGTTATATTTTCGTCATCATCATTGCCATTTGTCTTTCTAACAGATGTCCATTTATTGAATTGATATAAGGTTAATTGTAACAATATTTTGTATTTTTGTTCATTATTGTATGCATATTCATGATTATCGAACAGGTTTGTAATTATGAAATCGTAGTCTCTGCAAGAATCTTTCATTATAATCAAACATATACTAGTTCGAATAAATCGTCTATCAGAGGAATGTTTATGCATGTTTTCTAATGCTTGGCATACTTTTTCATTTATTTGAGCTTCTTCAAAACATAAAAGATAATTTCCGTAAATTAATAAAGCAGCATCAACAATATTTTCTTCAAATGTAATCCATGAACAAAGAATTTCTTCCAGAAAATTTTGTACTCTATTAAAAAGAACTATTTTCTGTCTGTCCATACCATTATAGAAAAATGCTGAATAAAGACCATAGAGAATTACTTTTTGTGTTTGAGGAATTTGTTGATTACGAAACATATCGACTAGAATATAATCGTACAATTTTTCTGGATAATTCTGTTCTATACGATAACTCGCGGATATCTCAGTAAGGCGTTTGATAACGACGATGGTATATGCTTGTTTAGTAGTGCTTGTGCCAATCATTTGTTGTTGAAGATGTTCTATAAGATAATCTTGCAAATCTTTTGAAATACTTTCAATTATCAATAAAAACGATCTACTAGATTTTGATGTCTGCGATGTGATTCGTTCGAATTCCAAATCTAATATAATTTTCAAGAGATCTTGCCGATTAACGGTCATACTTATCATTGATAGAAAAAAACTATTTGTTCTTAAATCGAATAGAACTTTACCAAAATGCTGTGAATTGATCAATAATGAGCAGAATGAATTTTCTTGAAAACTTCTCTTTTTCAAAAGATTTCGTTTTGCAGCAAGCATTTCACCAATTATATCGGCTAAATTAGGTTCTGTTGAATCATGAATAATTAATTGTAATGCTGCATAATGAGTAAAAAATTTTAGATTTTTATTCTTTCGATACTTGAGCCAACTTGCAATGATTGTCAAAGCTTTTCTTTCGATTTTGAGACATTGCGATACATCGTCAATAATCTGTTGTATTTCTTGCTGATCCAATGTTGGTAAGTTATTATCAATCCATTGTGCTACTCTATATGTCATAATTTTTTCAGTTTTTGAAGATTCCATCCATAATTGTTTTAAGTCTAAAGTATTATTCTGACTAATATTAGTATACATTCTCAAAATTTGACAATCAAAAGCTAATTCAACGAAATACATCGATGATAATAAATTTTGATCTGATAGATCAAAAGTATTTCTCGCAGATAAATATCGATGAAATATAGTTGAATTAAAACGAAGAAGATTAGATAAATCTTTTGTTCTTTTTTCGAATTTGAATAGATTATGTGAAAGATAAGGATCATTTAATTGTTTCAATGCAATATATGCTGCTTCTTGTTCGGGACATCGTTTACGACCGCTCCAAGTTGCAGTTAACTTTCCAACAATAGTGCGGCTCGTTTGCTGAAATGATTCCGGAAAGAATTGATGTATTTTATGAGATTGAACGAATAGAAAAGTTAATAATATGAGTGAACAACCTATCAGCGAATCGTTTAGTAAAGGAATGATTTCGTTTTGTATTAAGTTATTTCTCTGTTCTTCGTCGACAATTAATGGATCTTTCATATTTAACATAATGGTTAAAGCGATAATTCGTAAACTTGGATCTGAAATCTTTTTTGTTGAAGAAATGATTTCTTGATTTTTATCAGCATCGAGATTGATTGGATCGTATAATTTATCTTTACGAACACGGTGTTGAATTTGAAAGATTCGTGCAAGAGAAATCGATGCAGCGAAAAAATCAACATCTGTTCGAGATTCTTTAATACGTTTACGTTCAATTGTAACCAATTTTTCGTAATCTTTTGTTTCGTTATTTAGGAAATATTTGAACAACTTTTTTTTCTTCATCTCATAATAAAAATGCTTCTGTTCTCCAGTTAAGTGATCCATATTAGCATATTTTTCACGAAACAGAATCAATGCATAATTTTCTAACTTATTGTCTATGAATAATTTACATAACATTGGGAAAGCAAGAAAGTGGTAGTAGTTTTCCATAGTAACATCTTCTAAATGTATTAAGCATTGTGATAAGAATACAACCAATGGCAATTCTATGTGAGAAAAGAGTTTTTGCATAGATTGTGGTAGAAAACAGAGTAAATTTTCATTGAAAATTGCTTTTTCATGAATTTTATATAAAATTTCTTTCGAAGGAAGATGAATCAAATTTGGTTGTAATCGAGTATTAAATTTTTCATGTCGCTCTGTACAATTGTATAACCCAATTTTTTTCCATGCTGATGCACATGCAATAGTAAATGATTGACAATCAACGTCAATATTGTCGGAATGAAATGAGAAATTCTTCATGACTGATTTTGTTTGAGAACATATTGATGTGAAAGTCGATTCGAAAGAATCATGGGTTTTACTAAAAATAATAGATTGTTTGAAATAAAACCATGTTTGTTTAAATTTATCAAGTGCGAGAGATAATGCTTTATAATGAGCATATTTTTCATAGATCAATGGTTGAGATACACCTTGCAGACAAATTAATGCAATGAAAATCTCAACAATATCAAGAGAGATTTCTGTTGGCAAAGAATTATCTAGTTCCTTTTGCAGTTCTTGAATAAGACTTTCAATTTTAACTGAATCTGGTTGATCCGTGGTAGAAAAATAATGTACACAAATTAAATTCAAGACCGAAGATTTTACTCGAATATTTAGAATAAAACTTTCAAAATCAATTGATTGTTTTCGAAGAAAATATTGCATGTCTCCAAATAATCCACTTACGATTGAAATGATTAACGGATGAGTATGTGATAAAGCTGTAGCGGATGAACTGATATTCTCATCGAAAGATAATCCAAATGGTATTCGAAATGTTCGTCGTAAGATTTGATCAATGAAAAATTCTTTCGATGAATTTGGATCATAGAATGATCTCAGTTTTTCGTAAATTACTTTTAGTCTATATCTATTGGGATATGTATCACCTTCAATAAGACATAACTTCAAAATTTTTTCCAATGAATTTTCTTCTGTAATACAGGATTGCATCCAGTTCTCAGTGTAAGTTCTAAATAATTTCGATAAACTTGAAATGAAGTATTTTTTTGAGAAAGAATAACATGAATGACGAAATAATTCGTTAAGTGCTTGAAAAAGAAATTCTTCTGATGGTAATTTGTGTAGATCACGAATCGAATCGACGAATAAAAGTACTCCAAATGGAACCGAATAGTTATTCATAGTTGTCGTGAACAAATGTTCACAAAATTGATCATATTTTTCTTGCGATAATTTCGAACTAATCAAACCCATAGCTAAGAGAAGTGATTCACGAAAACGTGGATAAATAGCATATGAAAGTATACGTTGAACAATAGTTTCAATACGAAAATGTTCAACATCTGCAAAAGCCATTGCGACAAAATATTCTTGATATGATAAATGCAGAAAACTGTAGACATTTAAAGCATTTTCACTTGCAAATCCAATGTTCGATTTTAACCAATGGATGATACTTTCAGTATACTTGCACAATTCATTGCGATCTCTCGATACATTGTGTTCTTTGAGAACTAAACAGCATAATCGTTCGATGTTAAAACCATCGATAAGACCACTGGACGATTGTAAATGAAGATAGACGGCAAGTTTAGTTAAAAAGTAAGTTACTGCATCTTGAGGAATAGTTTGATTAAATTGACTCCATGAATTTAATTCTTTTTCAATACGGTAACAGTAGATATCTACTCGACGTCTAAAAAAGGTGACTTCAGTTGATTGAAGAACTAATTTAGCAACTAAAAATAATAATGATGTATTTGAACGTAAAAAGTTGAATTTTTCTCTAAATATTCGTTTGATGGTGGCACCTCGTTTCTCCAACTGTTTTTCTATTTTGTTTCGATCATATTTTAGTTTTTCTTCATCTAAAATATTAGTAATACTGTTCACAATTTGTTTCGTCCATTTAGATACTAAACGTTTTGCATCTTCATGATCTATCAATGGCAATAAACTATGTTGAATAAAAGGGCCCATAATTGAATTAAATCGATAGTTAGTAGATCGACTTGTAATAATAATTTGATTGCCAATAGATTTTGCCGGTAGTTGTGTTTCATTAATTGTATCACAGATTTTCTCATCGAATGCTGAAATGAAATCTGATGACAGTACATATTCTTTAATAAAATTTTCAACACAACGAATAATATTTGATATTTGATGAGTATCTGATATTTCATCAAGTCCATCGAGAAGAATCAAAGTATGACCTTGAGAAACCAATTCTTTCAATATTATTTGTCGATTTTTTTCATCAGAACAATAACATTTTGAAAACCAAGTATGTTCACCGATATAATCTATTAAAGTTTTTCTTTGATCTTGTTCGAGCCATGTAATGAATTCTCCAATTCGAATCAAGATTGGAATACGAACTGGAAGTGTAACGCGTGAACCATTTTTGTCTTCAAATTTTACCGTTTTAGAAGCATTTTTAGCTGCTTGAGCAAATCTATATGTAATCCAACGAAGAATAGTCGTTTTTGAATTACCTGGATCACTAAGAATAACAATCCATCGATATTTTTCTAATAGATCTACCAAACGCATACGAGAATATTTTACAAGTAAGTTTGATGAATCTTTTAATAGTGAGTAATTATTAATATCTTCGACAATGTTTCGAAATGAATAATTATCTTTCAAATGATTAAAATTGAATGAATATAGAATTCGATCACTACAATCATATTCTATATTAATACAGTTGAATTTCTTTTGTAAATTTACCCCATTTTTCATACCAAGAAAATCTTCAGAAAATTTTGTCATATCGTCAAACAGTTTTTCTACTTGTAATTTGGAATGAAATGAAATACAGTTTTCTAAATATATTTCGAAGAATTGTTGATGTTCATTTAGAAATTGTTGTAAATTCTTTTGTTTTTGGAAATTTTCAGAAAATTTCAATTCACGTTGCTTTATTTCTTTTTCCATTGTCATTCGTTTGTGAAAACTTCCTCCAAAAGCAGTTTTTTCTGGATCATTCTTGTTTCCAAGCATGTATAAAATATCTCTGTGTAGTTCAGTCCAAAAATCAAACGAAAATGGCTTATTATTGTTATTATTGAGAAGTCGATTTAACTGTCGCGAAAATAATTCAATCCAATTATCTTTTGTCGGATCGCGTAATTCAGACAATTGTGCAAACGAAGAACGAATATCTTTTAATACGTCTTTCTCGAAATTTGAAACACCCGGAGAACACATTGTTTGATTGATTGCCATTATTGCACGTTTGATAGGATTTTCCATGCTTATTTTGTTATTCACAACGATAAGACATATAATCACTCGTGTGTTCGGATGAAAGAAAAAACAAGTATTGTAATGATATAAAAAAAGAACATGATACGCCGTTTGTTCTGGTGAAATATGATATACAATCAAACTGATAAGTAAATAGAAATAGATGGCGTTTTTATTTCGATATTCCGTTATTTTTTTGAAAATATATATATTTCCTACTAGTTTTTTGTAAAGTGATGATAAAGTATTATTAAAGATACAAAATTTTGATTCTCACTTTGAAAATTTACTTTAATGAGCTATACTTGTTCTATAAACATCTATTTTAATGCATTAAATCAATATATCTTAACGTCATCTTTCCTATCCATGTTTCTGTATAAAATTCAGTCATATAAGCATTTGATAGATATACAAAAATAAGCCATGAGATAACAGAAGGAATGCCTGGGAATGCTATTGTACGATGACTTTTAAAAATATATTCTACTGTAGATATTCCACAGTGGAAATAAGCTTGCGTACGACCTTTCAATGGAAATCATATTGGGTATGGAATAATACAATAAGACCATATACAATTGGTGGTATAAATATGAATAGATGTCTTTGTATTAGTATGAAAAATATTTTCATTCTTGATATTGACTGATTATTGATACGATATATACGCAAAGAAAAATTAATTAAAACAATCAAAACGCGTAACACCAGCAAGAACAGCGACAGTATCAAAGAAACCTGATATTATACGTTTACTTGATGTTCTCTACGTTGTATTCCATTCACATTGATTAATAATCATTGGTATGATAATTGAACGTCTTTGTGTTCCATATAATCTACAACTGCAGTAGACGATGAAAGTATCTTTAAGTGCAACGAAAGCGCTTAATCAAAGACCAAAAATCGATATTATTGGGTGACCAATTTTGTCCAAAGAACAATTAAATGTTTCAAATAGTTCATCACTCTAGGGAGTACCCGCTGCAAATAAGAAATATCTATGTCCAACAGCTCACGTGTTGAAAAGCTATAACAGACAGAAAATCTTCATAATTCAAATTTCTACGCTTCCAGTCCTTATTTTCATGTCGTGCATCGCATAAAATGGCAGTTTCGGCTGTATCTTTTTATGCAAAAGAGTTACCAAAGCTAATTTCTGCCTCAGAAATTATGAAAATCTCCTCTTTCTCTCATATTCATTTTCCACTCCAGCTATTCATTCATCGACCTCTTTCTCACTCTCACGTCATTTCATACCTTATATCCTTCGAATTCACCCACCCTCAACATTTATCTTAATCTTTTGAGATCCTGTAACGCTATTGGTGAGTTCCGCAGATTATCTGTAGCATTCACCGAACTATCATAGGCGTAGAGAACACGTGGATTGTTGTCTTTGAGCGCTCAGACGGCCTTCGCTACCGACTCGCTGCAATTCTTCACATCTCGCAATCCCATTGGTCATTTCATAGATTGCCTGTAGCAGACACCTGGGTCATTTGTTCTCGGAACAAAGTAGATGTCGACCTTACTCTGAGCCTCAGGAAGCATTGTGGAAATTTTCACGTCGATAGCTACTACAGGGACTGAATGCATAGCGAACAAACAAACAGACAAACATTCTTCTTTATATATGTAGATACATGGTTTGAAATATTGACCAACTACACATAAATCTTCTTATGAATTCCCAGGTCGAACTATCCCATACTCGGATCAAATATAGGATTTTAGCAGATCCTACAAGAATTCGACGGATCCGAAACATGGATTTCCTGGATTTTCTAAGGGTCATCATAGAACATAGCTAAAAAGATCGCTAATAAAATTTGCAACAGCCGACGGGATTTTTCCAGTCGGATTCCAATGCAATTCCGTTTCCAGGAATCCGATCGGATTTTGTCGGATGATCGGATCCAGCATCGGATTTGTTGACATGGGCAGATGTCCATTTATAATATAAGTCGAATTAGGCACCTCATTAAATAACTAGCATGATAGATGTTGATACATGTTACAAACACATTTCTCCAATAGATATCAAACTTATTTCAAGAATTTGTAAAAACATTCTACCTAAAATCAATCATCATGTTCAAAAACTTACAGTTGATCAAACGTCATTTAGTCCAACTGTTCACGCTATCAATTATCCTCAGCTTCATTCACTCACAATTGTAGATATTCAGAAAGAATATATTCTTCATTCTTTAACAAGTAAAGTATTGCTTCTAATTAGTCACCATCAACAGAAAAATATTTTTAAAAGATAAACATTGATAGGCGGTTTTTTTAAAGATGATGTTGTTCTTCGCGATCTTCTCACTAATCAAGTAACACATCTTAATATTGATATCAAATACAAATACGCATTGCGTGGAACAATTGCCTTTGAAATATTTCGATTACTATTGTCATTATGTAAAAATTTAATGTCGTTCAATTTTGGTGATATGCTATGTTCAAAAAAATATATCGTCTGTCTTTATGCAATGCGCTCAAATAGAGCGTATTCATCTTTAACAAAGCTAAGCATTAATGCTCAAAATTTCTTTGACTTGCTCTCTCTACTTGACGGTCGATTTCACTGTTTGTCAGCACTAACCGTGGACGTAACTGATCCTTAAAGTCCAGCAAGTATGGATAGAATAGTAAGTATAAGTTCACTACATATACTGTGAGCGAAGAAACAAACAAATAAATTCCCTCGACTGAAAGAAGGATCATATGAAAAAAAGTTTGTCTGTTTGTGTGAGGGTTTAAAGTTCAAAGTTAAAAAAAAACATTTTTTAGAAAACGCTCAAAACTTCATAAAACACCGATTGGATGGGGGTGTTGAGGCTAGATCTTGGTTAGGATATTACTAATTTATGCTAACAGCGCAAACAGCCAACTTTTCGAGATCGCATGTTGATCACTGCTACAAACACCCACATCTCGATGAGTTATGAACACAAACATCCGCAAACACCCACTTTCCTTAACTTTTAAGAAAAATACATCCCTGACAAACTCGAAAACATCGCACTTTCCTCAACACTAACACCCAATAGCTCTCTTGTAGTCCCAGCAAACACCCACAGAATTACATAATCTACATTTTGATCTAATTAGGTGCCATTCCTCTATACACTTTTACCAGAAAAGCCACTCGAAATCTAGGGTGCGAGTGAGGGTGTGAGTGAGGATGAACGCTTTGGTGGATAGAGATGAGTGTGGGTGGAGGTCTTAGGTGAAACTATGGACGCATGACGTTAAGGGTCGTCGATTGGCTCTTTTGGGGTTGGTGTGTGGAGTCGGTGATCGGCGGTTGTGTTCCCTGATATGAGCATTTTATGTAGGCTTGGTGTTTAGCTCTTATTGATTTGTTTTTAATGGAATATGAAGTTGATGTGGGGCTGGGATAGTTAGAAGAGTGTCAGAAGACAGTTGAAATGGGTGAGGGTGTTCCAGCTTTTATTCAACTGTAAGTGATCTTAGGAGTAATAAAAGAACGACAAATAACCGTATGTATTACCGTAGCTAAATGCAGTGGAAGCGAAAATAGAGATATCAAAGGATACATTAGCTAAAATCACATTTGTCAAGTGTAATCCTAATCGATTGAGTTAAACCTATTAAATATACGGGAATTTTACAACGACAAAGAAATAAAACTGCTACTGGTAAATGATGATTATTGTTGGTATTCGTAGTAAATTTGGATTAATGGTAAACATATTCTTGTGTAGTTGAGTGTTTGTTCCAGTTGGATTCATAAATCGGAGCTAGAGTTGCTTTTCGCGGAGTTGCCTATTTCTGGAGGGAATAGCGTGCGGTCTCGTGGTAGTGAAGTTGATGGGCTGAAGTATGTAGATGAGGATGAGGATGCCTGGAAAGTGACATTGACTTAGAGCAGACTAAGATTGGTGTTTGACGTTCTATATTTTTTACTCTTACGTACGCTTCGTGGCGCATTTGATATGTTGTGCATGGTTGTGATGTTGTTCGATTGAAGTGGCCCTAGTGCTTATTTTCTTTCTCGCAGAGAACAGTCTTAGAAACATAAATTGATTGCTTGCTTTCTTGTATGTCCGCAGGGCCAGAAAAACATCGAAAATCGATTTTTCGGAAAATATATTTTCAGACGTACTTCATTGCGGAGACCTCGAACCTGATGTTAGATTTTTTAGAATTACAAAAAAATTTGAAACAAAGGGTACCCATTCTCGGAAAAAACATGTATAACCATATGATATCGGATATAGTAAAGTGTATAAGTATGGTAAATGAAATATTCTCGTCAATCTCTGGTGACCTAATAGTTAATTATTCACCTTCATAAACGAACTCTGAAGTAACGTAGTTGATGTTCATATACATAATAATGCATTAAAACTATGACAGCTGAAATCAATATTTCTACGACAAAGAGCTGAGCGAGTCTAACGACGAGCATTACTTGTTGTTATCAGCGGAATCAAATCGTGGAAAATAATTCTAGTAACGAAGAATATGAATGTGTATCAATTAAGCAATAAAATAGATTTTCAGAGAAATTATATGAGCAATATGTATTTCAGCAAAAGAAAATCGATGCTGAAGAACTAGAACAATGTAGTTCCATTCGTTTCACAATTTATTCCAGAAAGCACAGTAAAGTCCTATGGAACGATATAACATACAGCTGTAGTCAAAAAAACTTACACAAAATTCAACATTTTGTATAACGGTTTTCTTACCGTTCGAAAGTAATTACGGAAATCGTTTTTCCAGGGATATATGTACATTAGATATATAACACGTTGAACATAGGGAAATCTGATTTCTTTTCTTTTCTGTACATATAATTTTAATCATGACGTCGTCTAGTAAGTTCAAAAATCATCATATATCAATATTAGATTATTGGAACAAAGGCGTACGATCTGCTCCTGCTATTCATCGTAAAACAAAGATCCCACTGAGGACTATATATTACAATATTAATAAATTGAAACAAACAAATTCACTTAAACATCGAGGAGGAAATGGTCGACCACGTGCACTTTGTGCAATTGAAAAGAAAGCTATCGGCTAATATATTCGTCGAAATAATGAAATTACCATTAATGAAATCAAAGAAAAATTATCAACAACTTATCGTTCAACAGTATCTGCATCAACAATACGTTGTCATCTTCATCGATCTGGCTATCGAAATGTATTACCGAGAAAAACCCATATATTAACATCCGATGATAAACAAAGACGAATTCAATGGGCCAAGAAACATAAAAATGATGATTTTACGCGTACAGTATTTACAGACGAATGTTCATTTCAGCTTTATCGAAATACAGTTCGCTGGTGGTCAAAATGTCTAAATAATGAAGTCAAACCGATACCGAAAAATCGTCAGAAAATCCATGTGTGGGGTGCAGTGAGTACAGAGGGTGTAGTGAACTGTCATACGTTTAAATGCAATCTTAATGGTGAATATTATGTTCATATACTCAAGAATTATCTTCTTCCTGCTGCAAGGCGTCAGTTTCATCGAAACTGGCGTCTACAGCAGGACAATGATCCGAAGCACCGAAGTAATATTTGTAATAACTTCATTCAAGATCATGTACCGGAATTGTTAGATTGGCCATCTAACAGCCCAGACGTTAACCCAATTGAGAACATCTGGTCGATCGTAAAACGCAAAGTTGAAAAGAGGAAGTCAAAAAATATTGACGAACTTGAACGTTTTTTAGTTATAGAACTCAAAAATATTGATATTAATATTGTAAACAATTGTATCATGTCCATGAAAGATAGATGTTCGTCTCTTATTTCTTCTAAAGGTGAACGAATAAAATATTAGAATATAGTGTTGTATAGCGTCTTTCATAGGCTATCAACCGTATATGAAACTAGTTGAAAGTCACTTACAAATAAGAATTTATTTGCAAGACAAGATGTGCAAGTTTTTTTTTACTACAGCTGTATATCACGCATTACACAAAATACTGTCTTCCACAGCCAAATAATAAATCGGGTACTATTTTTACTCTTCGTTGTAAATGCTCGCGTATATATGTCATGGTTATTGTATTGTAAGAAACTAATCGGCAGTTATCTGTTAACAAAACTACGGATGTTTTAAAGTAAGATATTACAGCGTTCTTGTAGATTTGATCATTGTCTTTAAAGCCATCTGTTTGGGCATATCGAAAAGCGGCTTAACTTTTCCAATAAGCTCAACGCCTTGTTTCCGAAGAGAATCGATAACGTTTGTTTTTTCGAAGGTTTTCCACGTTTTCTTGTTTACTAAAATGCCATGGGGTAATTAATTCATCAAAATGAATTCACAACAAATTGTTAGAGCACCTCGGTGAGGGATTTGGCATCTGATTTATGTTAAAGATGCTGAGTGTTCTAACTCACTCTTCAACACACAAAAAAACAGATATATATTGTAGGAGTGGCAATTTAACTTATCTTTAAGTGTTCAAGTTAACGTCACCCTTACGGGAAACCGTAGCTCCATTTTATATTTTGTGGGTTCAAAGCGAAATAAAAGATCATGGGACTGGTTTTTCAGGTTGAAAAACGATCATTTTTTCTTATTTCTTTTATCTATCATCGAATAAGACTTGGGAAGAATGAAACGAACACTCTGGGAGATGCTGCATGAAGCTCTCAGCAAACTACATCGTGAAACTTATTAGAATCTTGTGTTTCATTTACTAAAAGACGTGAAATGGTGCAAAACAATCAGTGAAAACAGACTTGGTGGCATTTAGCATTGTTGAAAACAAAATTTATATAATGAAAATAAATCTCTAATGTAAGCTGTAGGGTTTTTTTATCTTCCACTATACTTTTTAGCTAAAAGAATTGATTTCGAGGTGTCAGTTTCTTTTGAAGAAAATCGAATCGGCTTCTCTGTAAAAAAATCGGGTCATACCGAACCTTTTCTCGGTACCATTTTCAGAACCTTTTTTGGTTTTCGCAAAAAAATCTAGAACCTAAAATGGTTTTAGCCAAATGTGCCGAACTAGAAAAGGTTTCAGATTTCTTTGCTAGAACCCAAAAGGTTCTGAAAATAAGGTTCTGAAGACGTTACCCAAATCTAGAACCATAAAAGATTTTAGACGCTAGCTAAAACCTTTTATGGTTCAGTATCGCCCGGTTTTTTTTAGAGAGTTGTAAAGGAGTCAAAGGCATAAAAGATTTTCTACTTTTAATTCTTAAAACTTCTATTTTAAATGTCAAAACAGAATTTCATGAGCATGCGTATTCTAACGCCATCTTTCTGCGCACGCCAACAATTGGTTACTATCGAAATGATTACACGTCATTGGTTTTCGTCAAAAACATATATAAATACGTCACCACCATGAGTTACTACTCATAACGAACAAAATCAAACATTTTTCGGTTAACCTGAAATTGATCGAAATGTTAAAATGTCGAAATGAAAACTATCGAAAATCAAACCATTCGAAAACAAAAATGAGAGTGCAGATAGATGTGTAAGATTGAGGGTGAGGGTGAAGAACAATGCCTTTCTCAAACGAAATCATTCGCACCTTGTTCATCTTTCGATGTTTGTATAGTTGGCGTATTCGATATTTTTTTATTTTCGATCTTTTTAAATTCGATATTTTTACTTTCGACATTATTCAGTAGAATCCATTTTTCATCGCTTCCAGTCTCTACGGTACGGTTTGCTACACGATTGAAATACATCATGCACACATTTTCCACATTACCCGTCGAACTTGTTTACCGAATTATGGATCATCAAAATGAGGAGACGCTATTTTGTTCAATGCAAAATATTTCCCGGCGGTTCAATCAGATCCTGAGCACCTATGAGCGATATCGAGTAAGTTTACTAGGCACCTTAACATTCTTGTCGGCTGTGCTACACATAAGCCTAACGATATTTGACGTCGTAAATTTCTTCATAAGAAGAGGAAAGTAATCTCATAATCCACCAATAATTCGATCGAACCAGACGATCACAGTGCGAAGTCAAATGAAATCAAGCATTCCTTCACTCTCTCATCTTCCATCTATGCATGTTGAACTATTCGATACATAAGTGCATCAACTATCACTTTTGATGAAACTTCCCAAGTGAAGCAAAATGATCTCCACAATTTCCTGGTCTATGCCTATATTCATTCTGACCCACATCCACACCAAACCCAACTCCTACATATCACAACAGTACGATTTCAATTTCATTCGAGGGCACCCTCAAAAGAGATATCTCGCTACAATCAATAGCCTTTCATAGTTATATCCTCCTCTTTCCACTCAATCACCTCACACTGATCTCCTGTCCATATTGCCCACACAGCACCTATTCTCAGAACGCAGTCTTTCCTGCGCAACAACTACCATCGTCATCCACCCAAACAACTGACATATAGATTCAACTGCTCCCTAAAAATCGTCCCCAAACATGACTATTTCAAATCACACATATGCACCCAGACTTCTCATCAAAGGTCCCCTTTGCTACTTCTCCTTTTCATAATATTCCATTCATCTAGATACTCACCACACTAAACCTCGTCGGCAACACAATCAATGCTAAAGGGGCACAAAACATTGCGGATGCCTTGCGAACGAACACGGTAATATTGATTTCATTTCACCGAAGGTGAAGTGTTCATTCTCTCTCATACCTACAGACACTCACCACACTAAACCTCTTCGACAACAGAATCGCTCATGAAGGAGCAAAACACATTGCGGATGCGTTGCGAAGGAACACGGTAATATTGATCTCATTTCACCGAAGGTGAAGTATTAAGTCTCTCTCACACTTACAGACGCTCACCACACTAGATCTCGACTACAACGGAATCGGTGATGAAGGAGCACAACACATTGCGGATGCGTTACGAACGAACACGGTAATATTGATTTCCTTTCACCGAAGATGAAGTATTCATTCTCTCTCACACCTACAGACACTCACCACACTAAACCTCCCCGACAACAGAATCGGTGGTAAAGGAGCACAACACATTGCGGATGCCTTGCGCATGAACACGGTAGTATTGATCTCATTCCACGGAAGGTGAACTATTCAGTCTCTCTCACACCTACAGACGCTCACCACACTAGACCTCCAATCTAACGGAATCGGTGCTGAAGGAGCACAGCACATTGCGGATGCCTTGCGAACGAACACGGTAATATTGATCTCATTTGACCGCAGGTGAAGTATTTATTCTGTGTCACACCTACAGACACTCACCACAGTAGATCTCAACTATAACGGAATCGGTGCTGAAGGAGCACAACACATTGCGGATGCCTTGCGAACGAACACGGTAATATTGATTTCATTTCACCCAAGATGAAGTATTCATTCTCTCTCGCACTTACAGACACTCACCACGCTAAACCTCCCAGCCAACAGAATCGGTGCTAAAGGAGCACAACACATTGCGGATGCGTTGCGCATGAACACGGTAGTATTGATCTCATTCCACGGAAGGTGAACTATTCAGTCTCTCTCATACCTACAGACACTCACCACACTGTATCTCAACTGTAACGGAATCGGTGATGAAGGAGTACACCACATTCGGGATGTGCTGCGAACGAACACAGTAATATTGATTTCATTTCACCGAAGATGAAGTATTCATTCTCTCTCGCACTTACAGACACTCACCACACTAAACCTCCGATCTAACGGAATCGGTGATGAAGGAGTACAGGACATTGCGGATGCGTTGCGCATGAACACGGTAATATTGATCGCATTCCACGGAAGGTGAAGTACTCAGTCTCTCTCACACCTACAGACGCTCACCACACTAAACCTCCCTGCCAACAGAATCGGTGCTAAAGGAGCACAACACATTGCGGATGCGTTGCGAACGAACACGGTAATATTGATCGCATTCCACGGAAGGTGAAGTACTCAGTCTCTCTCACACCTACAGACACTCACCACACTAGATCTCGACTACAACGGAATCGTTGATGAAGGAGCACAACACATTGCGGATGCCTTGCGAACGAACACGGTAATATTGATTTCATTTCACCGAAGGTGAAGTGTTCATTCTCTCTCATACCTACAGACACTCACCACACTAAACCTCTTCGACAACAGAATCGCTCATGAAGGAGCAAAACACATTGCCGATGCGTTGCGCATGAACACGGTAATATTGATCTCATTTGACCGCAGGTGAAGTATTTATTCTGTGTCACACCTACAGACACTCACCACAGTAGATCTCAACTATAACGGAATCGGTGCTGAAGGAGCACAACACATTGCGGATGCCTTGCGCCTGAACACGGTAATATTGACTTCGTTTCACGGAAGATGAAGTATTCATTCTCTCTCACACCTACAGACACTCACCACACTGTATCTCGGCGGTAGCAGAATCGGTGATGAAGGAGCACAACACATTGCGGATGCGTTGCGAACGAACACGGTAATATTGATTTCATTTCACCGAAGATGAAGTATTCATTCTCTCTCGCACCTACAGACACTCACCACACTAGACCTCCGATCTAACGGAATCGGTGATGAAGGAGCACAACACATTGCGGATGCCTTGCGAACGAACACGGTAATATTGACTTCAGTTCACCGAAGATGAAGTATTCATTCTCTCTCACACCTACAGACACTCACCACACTAAAGCTCCCCGACAACAGAATCGGTGGTAAAGGAGCACAACACGTTGCGGATGCGTTGCGCATGAACACGGTAGTATTGATCTCATTCCACGGAAGGTGAAGTACTCAGTCTCTCTCACACCTACAGACGCTCACCACACTGTATCTCAATTGTAACGAAATCGTTGATGAAGGAGCACAACACATTGCGGATGCGTTGCAAACGAACACGGTAATATTGACTTCATTTCACGGAAGATGAAGTATTCATTCTCTCTCACACCTACAGACACTCACCACGCTAAACCTCTCCGACAACAGAATCGGTGCTAAAGGAGCACAACACATTGCGGATGCGTTGCGTCGGAATGCGGTAAGATTGATGCTTTGGTTGAACAAAATTTGGAATATCTGATTTATCGAATTCTTAGAGAGTGAAAATGGTGTAGATCTTGCGCGGAAGGGAATGGGAGAACAAGTTATAGTCGATCTGGTGACTCTTTTTGGTAGAAAAGATGTTTTTCGTTCGAGATGTGGGTCGATATCATTTGGTGTGTGATTTTGGTGACATTGAGAAGAGTTGGAGGAATAGTAAATGAATGTTGTTGTGAGAAGTGGATGTGGCGTGATTAAGATTGATTTTTGTTGTGGGAAAATACATGTGGAATAGTGAAAGTGATTGCTTTATTTACGGAGGTGTAACAGAGCAGTGTTTGATGGAAGAGCTGTGATGGTACGATGCGTTTATAGGGGTTCTCTTGGTTTGGAATTTGTTTCTGAAGGCGTGTGATTGACAAGACAAAATTACTGCAGACTGCTCGGCTATATTGGAGATATGGCAGAATTGTATTGACAGGAGTACAGCACGTATGCATTTTTTATATCAGTTCTCGTAAAGGCAAAGTCATCAGACCAAGGTACATCGAATGGGAACGATGTTTCATTATTATTTAGCTGTTTTATGTTTGATTCCAAAGCCTGAATGTATTGAGAGCTTGATAATAAAGTGTTATGTTTGTTTGTAATTTATTGTTGAAGAGGATAGAATGTATCCGTTATCTATGAATTCTGTGGTGCATTGGACAGAAACAATGTAGTATAAAGTGACTGAAGTGGTACAGTGAAGAGAGAATGGTCAAAAAGTAGCGCAGCAAATCGCGCTGTTAGACTAATCGTTTGCCACGAGCAGCGTAGTCTGAGAAGAAGTTATTTTATCATTATGATCAGCTCCATGCACTCTCAGTGTTGATCCATAGGAAAATATCAGAGAAGTATTTGTTGCAACATTTTATCGCGGAAAAGCACTGGAATATACTCTCGAACTTGTTTGTGTATTATTCTGATAACAGGGTTTTTGATTTATGGTTTGCTTACGTGAAAAATCTCTACACTGCTAGAAACTATAGCAAATTTGAGGCCGTAAGAAAAGCGGAGGATAACCAGTTTGATAAATTTTCTCAGTCAGATTCGGACTGGCACATTTAATATCTGATGATAGGCACCTATTGTACCATTGCTCTAAAATCTATCTTTCGAATGATGACAGAACTGAAACCAGTTAGTTGTGCATCATTCAACATTATAGCCTGTGCGCTAAGATGTTACATATATATTCGTAGCGTTCCTTAACATTACACTGTAAGAGAACATACATTTCGTTTGATTTGTACCTGTCTTTGAGTTCTCTGTACATATCAGTGATTGAAAACTCGTACGAGATGATGATCATTAAACAGAAGTGGATTTTAGCTATCTGGAGCCACCCCAGACTGATTTCCTACATATAGTATTACTACATTTTGAGGTGTATCTGAAATGGTATGTATATAGCCCGCCTTTTTGCAAGGGGTTAACACTAGTTAGTCAAAGTACACTCATATAAATCGAGTGGACTGAAAGTATGCAAAATGTCATAATCTAAGTACAAATAATTTTACTTTCAATCAAGATATTTGTGCACATTTAGTCTCCATTTGTTTATCAATACAGCATCCTCAACGAATACAACTGTTTAGTAATAGTCTGTACGTGATGTAGATAAAAAGTAGAATTTGCAACAACCAGCACTGGTATCCACGAAATCCGATATAATGCTATCGACGGAATTTGTATATACGGATATATGAAACAGTCAAAGATGAGCGTACCCGTAGTCAAAGAAAGAAGATATGTGCATTTTGTTTTCAGTAAATAAAATCACGCCGTGCAACATTGGAACTTTTTAGCTGAGTATACAGTCACTTTTTATTGTCATTGTTAAAATGAGGTAAACATGCTTATATTAATTAATGTTCTTTACTTTTCAGAAGTTGCAGAAGCTTCTCGCAACACGCGGAAAAATACTCTCCTATGTTTGTTCCGAATAGAGCGCTCACGCTCAAAAGCATCAGCTTCTGACGGTAAATCTTGTTGAATTTTCAGTTTGGATCTAATATTTCCAACAAAAGCGAAGACCAAGTTCAGGATAACGAACACATGTACGTTGAAACTTATTTCAATATACATATGTAATTTATAAGTAATGTCCGCCCATTGAACTCCCTGATTTGATACTAACATAGTAGAACTATATCTTTCAGCATACTTGAAACATCATAGAGACTTGTTTTACTCCATAAACCAAACCACTTGTCTCTTTGTAAAAAGGTGTTGTTGTCTAGCCGATTATAATGATCTATCCACAAAATCCGCCGTTTTTCTATTCCTATTCGAATTCAATGAATATGTTTAGCTTTATACCATGTTTAACACCAATGACATCCTACTGTACGTCACATGACGTTCTTTTTTTCAGCATAAAGAGGCAAGGAGTTTACGCATACTTATAATGGATCGAAAAGATTTCATTTCCAATAAACTACATATCGGCTAAGATTTAAGAAAAAAGATGCACCAGAAGAAATTGACGTCAAGTTTGAAGTTCTCAATCTTAATTACGCTTTAGGGGATGGTTGCTCAGAGCGAGTACACTCAATCGGATTCGATGGGAATTCGGCGGGATCTGAAAGTCGGATTACTCGCTGCAGTGGCGCAACCAGAGGAGAGGCAAATGAGTAATTGCCCATTCAAATTTTATTTTTTAAAATGAAAACATTGATTTATTTTCTTTCTCGTAGAGAAGAGTCTTAGAAACATAAACTTTTTGCTTGTTTGTTTGCTTGTATGTGCGCAGGGTAAAAAAAAACATAAAAAGTCGATTTTTCGGAAAAGACATTTCCAAGGGTATTTCAGTGCGGAAACTTGGAATCTGATGTTAGTTTTCTGAAACAAAGGATATTGATTTACGGAAAAAATATATAACCATAGGATACCGGCCATAGTCAAGCGTATTAGTATGATAAATAAAACATTATGTTCGATGTCTAGTGACGTAATAATTAATAGCTGATCTTCATAAACGAATTTTGAAGTAACCTCCATATGCCTGACAACAAGACTGAACTTCTTCCTGGTCTTTTACCTTTGGTACGAAACATCATGTACGATGATCAGAAGGATTCGAGCGATTTAAAGATAAAAAGCGAAATATTTCCCTCGAGTGCAATCTACATACGAAAACCATCATATGCACTCGTAGAAATTAACGCATCACAAGTAGAAACAAACCTCGATGGCCTTCGTCCTAAACTAATTTCTATTCCATTAATCGAGAAGCAGTTCACTGTTCCTATAAGGCAACTTTTCGGGCATCTGCTCGATCGAGTACAAAATGGGAGAAGAATTCCACAAGTCATTCAAGTCACACGAACGCAACTACCAATTGTACCTGCCTTCGCAATAACTACATATAAAGCGCATGGACTCACGATGAACAAAATTGTAGTCGGTCTTCAAGTTCCACTTCAGACATTGCAAGTGGTGTCAGTATATGTACTACTCAGCAGAGTGAAGAGGGCGGAAGATACAGTCATTCTTCGACCTTTTGATATGAAGGTTCTACCAGTACGACCTTCTCTTGCTCAAGACGCTGAACTGAAACGTCTAGATGAGCTTGCCAAAAGGACAAAGCGAGAGTGCGCCTCTTTCATTTCGTAAATATGTGTAAATCGATAGTTTGCTAATAGTCTAGTTTCGTGGTAGACATATAAAATGTAATATAATTTGAAATTATCTTAAAATAATTATTTATAAATGTTCATTTCCTTAGTCTCTATTTACACTGATGTTAATTATTATATAGTTGTCTATTTTTCTGCCATTGTACCAGATATTACCCAGGCAAAATTAGAATATTCCAATTTTGCTTGAATCACGATTTTGGATACAACATAAACGTCATTTTGAGCTTAAATTTCTGATGAATACATATACCCAGGTCACCAATCCTGTACTCAAATCTATTACCGGATTTGTGAATCTATGACGTCAGAAGAGTGTGAACAATATTCTGAAGATTTGGCTGTTTTCATTTTTATTAAAATAAAGGGACCACTTAAAAATTCACAATTAAAGGGCGATCTTAGAAAACAGATCAACTCATTCATTTGGAATTTCATTTATAGATCGCTTTGCTGAGAGCGTGTAACTGTTCTTCTTTCTTGTATGCCATGTTTTAATCTCAACCGAATTTTGGCCGAAGGATCAACAGAATTATCAGTACATATGATGGATTTGAAACTCTTTTGTATAGTTGAAAGTCAGTTAAAACTAACTCATTACATAGAATATTGAATACTGTATGTGCTGTAATATTTTCAAAACAAACACTACCATAAATATCGTGAAAAAACGATATGGAAACCAAATTTTGAGAAAAATATAATAAAATGTCGTTTTTTTGTTTTTGTCTTTTTTCTTTGATCCATATGCACATAGAGCGTATGTATAAAACATTTTGCTATAGATGGACATATAGGACGTGACCAAAAGTATTTCTGAGAATGGCAATAGAACTAATTGAGCGACGAGCGCTGAAATTATACTTTGCGTACTGTGTGAAAGATTTTGTCATTATTAATGAATTTAATTCAATAAATTTCGATGCATTCGAGTTGATTTAAAATCGACAGAAATCAACATTGATTTATTAATAAATCTAATTGAAAGAACGACAGTAAACTATTTCACTCGTTTTAGATACGGTGTTCACCACAGAAAGAATTTATTCATGCTTTATTTCTCTTTTACAAAAGATTGTCATGCGAAGGAGAAAAAAGACATTCATTTGAGTTCGTTTACAGCTGGATTTGATGTTGATTCGAGTTTTCATCCGAATGAACACTAGTTTCCTCTGGAATGAAAAGGAAAAATCAAATAAAAAACACGGAAATAAGAAACAAAATAACCTTGAAGTAATTTAGTATCGATATATGGTGTTACGATGGATATTTGGCATCCGTCATCAAGAAAATAATCATTAATACATGACTTTGATATTACATAACAACGGACAATTTGATTTGTTGTTGTTGTATGCAAATTACGCGACGGTGTCTAAATTAATTGAAAGCTTGAGATTTTAATAAAAAGAATTAAGCCGTACTCTTGTAACGAGATATTGATTACGTCCATGATCACTGATAGATACGTTTAACTGAAAATGAACGAAAACTGATGGCTAGTAAACGACCAACACGCGAACAATACGTACACAGCTGCCTAGGTATAAGATGCCGACGAGAGCAAACATCAAGCAGGATAAATGCGAGTAAATGTGGACAAAGATATGTATCTATGTTGCCTTTGTTCGATTTTCGTTCCAATTCTCATTTAGACTTTTGTTTCTTCAAATGTTCTTGTGCTCATTGTTCCGTTTCCAGAGCGAGGGTGAGAACGATAATCGAGAAAGGGCGACAGAAACACATTCCTTCATCCGTATTTACTCATATTTGTCCTATCTGCTTTTGGTTTTCACCGATATCTTAGACAAAGACAGTCATGTGCTTATCGTTTCCGTTCTCGATGGTCAACGACGAAGAATTGCTTAATTAAAACTTACTTTATCGAAAATAATTTGTTTTAAATCTTCCATTTCACTTTCACAATCTTCATATTCTACAATGTTCGACGATTGAAACTAAAAGATGAATTCAAGTACACGGCATTGAACGAATTAAATGCAGCTTACATCGATAGATTCTTCGCCGCCTGAAGAATTTCTCTGACGAAATTGTCATACCGATACATGTAGTTTAACAGGAGATCAATAATTGCAAGCTGATCATCCCAGGTTATTATGGCACGGTCCTTTCCGGCCGGAAGTTCAAACGTAGGTTCCAGTCATTTCCCGCAAAATTCGAGCTAGAAACGGTCAGGAACCTGCCGGAACCGACTCAGATTTCAACGGATCCAGTCGCCGGAATGATCGACCTGGGACGTTGCTTTAACGAGCCAGATGACGATTTAACCTTTTTCTTCAATAGTTGTAGATTATCAATCTAGATTAGACTCCTTTGAGTTGCATCTTTTGGCAAAATAATCTTACCTTCATGTTATCGAGAAGAATTTCTGTGAGAAAATTATCCATTGGAATTCGACGAGAAATTATGACAAAGAAAATGAATAATGTAAAATACAACTGCTTATCGATCGAACTTTTCCAAACAATAAAAAGAGAATACTTTATATGCAGACTGGAAACGATAACAACGAGATCAGTAAAAGAAAAAGGCTGTGATTCGGTAAACGAAGTCGTCAGTTAATGAAATAGACGTAGACTAATGTTCCTCTCTTTTTCTTTCGTCCGCGTGACATCTGCATGATCACTTGTATACATACGAACATAAATGGCGAGTATTCTTTTCGTCAAACATATCCTTTCGTAGATCTGACTTCTATATTGCCTAACTTTTATTTTCCTTTTCTTCCTCTCGACTTATCTGATTCATTGAATGTATAGACAAAGATTCCAAATTGGCAAACAGTCTTCTGAATAAAAAGCAAGCATTCACTTGAAACACTCTCTCAATATAACTAGTTGATTCATTGGGCAAAGGACTATATCATGACAAGAACATCTACGATATGTGCATTGTTGACATTTCATGGACAAGCGGAAACCTAGGTTTGTGGAGAACATGGCTTGTTTCATTCACACAATGGCAACCACTGTCTTCAATGCTATTCAAATAGTCATCATTTTTTTCTGCTCCAAGTGAAGAAACGTTTTCTCTTAATTATTTTATCAATTTCCACGACGTCAATAATGACTGCAAGAGAAAATGTTGAATAAGTATCGATCGTATTTTGCCAAGATCCATACAGTTCCCAATTCATTCAATCATTGCCTTTGAAATAGAGAATAATTATGTGATTATCAGCTCGTGCGACCATGACATCGTCTTAATCGATAAATGTTCGTCGTTTACCAAGAATCAATCACCACGAATGTACAAAATAATGGATAAATCAAACACTTTATTCCTGATCTAAATCAGCCTGTAAGCTGTCGATGTGTCTGAAAGCCAATGAGAAATAATCACCTCCACATCCTCACCATTTTCTATAAGGTGATGGAATGATTACGGAGTGGAAAAGCTCGACGTTGTTTTTTTTCTCAATGTTAAAGACGAGAAAACTAAAAAACGAAGAAGGAAGAAATGGAGGATCACGTCATTCTCGCATCGATCTCTTTTTCGGATTCCTCGTCACTCAATTTCAGACTGATGTATAAATTGACATTCGTATTTTTGGATGCGTGTAATCACAGAACAACATGGAGAATGAAACGAGTCAGTTGTTTTATCTGAATTTCAGTCATACATCGTCCATCACCCTTCTTCGTAGAAGATGATTTAGTAAATCAAACAAAGACGATATTACTGATTGTAACACCAGCGTCCAGAACTATGCCGTCGTCACAGCNCTCGTCACTCAATTTCAGACTGATGTATAAATTGACATTCGTATTTTTGGATGCGTGTAATCACAGAACAACATGGAGAATGAAACGAGTCAGTTGTTTTATCTGAATTTCAGTCATACATCGTCCATCACCCTTCTTCGTAGAAGATGATTTAGTAAATCAAACAAAGACGATATTACTGATTGTAACACCAGCGTCCAGAACTATGCCGTCGTCACAGCTGATGAAATCATATCAGTTTGCAATAGGTATCTCATTGGCCCTCTTGTCCAGTTTGTTTATCGGTTCGAGTTTCATTTTAAAGAAGAAAGGCTTACTCAAGCTAACTCATCACTTGGGAGTAGTCCGAGCAGGTTTGTCAGAAACTATTTTCTTGGCATTTGTCAAGAGAGTCCCTCACTGTCTTTGTCTTCAGGATCCGGTGGCTTTGGTTATCTCTATGAGATTCAATGGTGGACTGGACTGTTAACCATGGGTATTGGAGAGGCTTGTAATTTTGCAGCATATGGATTTGCTCCGGCATCGATTGTCACTCCTCTTGGTGCGCTGTCAGTTCTAGTCAGGTTCGTGTTGTATTGTGATTGCTATCGATGTATGTTTGTATGTATATGTTTTGACAGTGCTCTGCTGGCTGTTCGATTCTTGAATGAAAACTTGACTACGCTTGGCAAGATCGGCTGTCTTCTGACTGTTGCCGGTTCGATTATTCTTGTGATTCATGCACCAAAAGACAATGATGTCACTTCTCTGTTAGATTTTGCTAGAAGAGTCAGATCTGCCGGTAATAAAGAACATTCAACAAGAAACGTTGAATACTGATTTGATTTCTGTTTAGAATTCGTTTTCTTCTCATTATTTACATGTGGTGTCCTTCTCGTGTTGATCTTCTACTATGCACCTCGTTTGGGTACTAAACATGTTTGCATATACATTCTGATTTGTTCTCTACTCGGTGCATTCACCGTCACAGCTTGTAAAGGTTTGGCAATAGGATTGAAAGAATTATACATGCACGAACACACATATTCAATGTGGTTGACATTGATCTGTGCGCTGACGATTGTTAGTTGTATTTTGATCCAAATGNGTGTCCTTCTCGTGTTGATCTTCTACTATGCACCTCGTTTGGGTACTAAACATGTTTGCATATACATTCTGATTTGTTCTCTACTCGGTGCATTCACCGTCACAGCTTGTAAAGGTTTGGCAATAGGATTGAAAGAATTATACATGCACGAACACACATATTCAATGTGGTTGACATTGATCTGTGCGCTGACGATTGTTAGTTGTATTTTGATCCAAATGATGTATCTCAACCGAGCGTTAGATCTGTTTTCAACACCAGTAGTAACAACGTGTATTCTCATAACATCGGGTATACTGTTTCGCGAATGGCGTTTATTGACATTCGTGGATGTTGTTGGATTTGTTATTGTCATGTGTGGATTGATTTTGATCAATTATTTGAGAACGATGCCAGTGTCCATCGACGCAGACTCTACAGATGTGAACGGTGAGAGATGAAGTGTTTTTGAAAAAGAAAAGAAAGCATGTTGGTATTTAGATGACTCTCTTCTTTCATCGTTCTCGTCAGCTTCACAATTTCTTGCACTTGGCTCATGTGATCCTGTATCAACGAAACAATCGAACTATGTTCCAATCAAATCCTATGCTGATCTCTTGCAAAATGATGACGAATTTCCATTAATAAATGAATGTGATGTTCAATCATAGTACACAACTCGCCCAACGAACATTGTACGTTCTTCTTTTTGTTTGCTAATCTCTATCTATAGTTGTCTGTTTATAATTGCATATGCGAAAAGCTATTTTTTGTGAATTATTTTACGAAAAAAAAACGAACGTTCATGATATTCATGAGAAGGATCGGATTATATGAAAGAAGATTTATCGAAAAACAATATTCAGCACGCTTCTGATAATAATAACAATAGTAAGATATCTTTCTAGTAATCGCACCACACATACTATTTTATCACGCTATGACCTCGAGTAGAGAAAGTTTATCTATATACCACTGATATCAATAATTTGTGTCTCCAAGAGCTCTCTTTTCCGATGAAGGAGAAAAATAATGATTCAGAGATCATTAAACAGCCAATTAATAGAATCAGTGCTCCTACGAAACGAATGCAAACTTTTTTGTCCTAATTGCGTACATCTATCTTCTATGTGTGCATATGACTGACTAATGATTGAAAACGATTCTTTTTGAACTTTAACTGTACATACATCTCTCCATTCGACTTTTTATCTTTTTTTTTATCAAATATGCATGTATGTTTGTATTTAATTTCCATGGGGAATGAAAATGAAGGGAGAGGGAGTAAAAAATCTTTTTGCCTTTCCTTTTGATAGTATCATTAGGGAATTTCTTTTTTTTTTATTTTAATATGATCAATCACTGTTCATTAATGGTCAAAGACACATGAAGATGGATTTTATTATTCAACCTTGTTCAAGGTAGTTTATAAAACGGAATTATAAGCGAAGAGATGATAAGATTTTATCTGCATATGTCTCTAATCGAAGAATAATAAAATGACGGATACATGCACGCGCTCGACCTTAGATATGGGTAATGATACATGCATAGCATCACGATAATCATTGCATCATTTCCATATGCACATCTTCTTAAACGACAAACAGCAGCAGTTGTCGTCCTATGACCCATCAAGTTCATGTGTGTACACATATGCGTGTGTGTCGAGATGTCCATAGAGCTTTTTCTTTGGAATTAAAGGCATCAAGTCAATGTCATTTGCCGAAATGATGAATATTTATTGGTTCAATGACACTGTTTGTAGTTAAACAATAGACGTCCGATCCATTAGAACGATATATAGATAGATAAATATATATATATACACATGGTGCTCATTTTTTAAATAGTTATGGTGTTCGTTTCACTAGGAACGAACAATAGTCAAAGGAAGAAAAGAGAAATAAAAAAAAGAGATATGGAGAATAATGTCATTGCCAAATTGTGTTGAACTAAGCGAGTAAGTGTAAGTTGAAGGTTAACATAATATAATGTCTCCTCTCATATGTAAATATGAAAGCAAACAA